AAGGGAAAAGACAGTTTCACCAGACGCTAAAGCTCTCCTCCAGGGTGGGGTCCCCTGCACCCTCTATGTCCCTGACCCCCTCCCTGCCCCACCCCCTGGGCCCCAACCTCACCCCTGGGGCCCTGCCTTCGATCTGGCCCGACCACCAAGGCAGTAAACTAGTTCGGCTCTTTAGACTTGGCCCACAACTGTAATCACAGTAAAATCTGATTTATGACCCCCAAATAAGATAGGTACGAGTGAATCACCGACCGCTTTTGCTGCAGGGTTCATGAAGAGGAGTCTCAGAGGGGGGTTGTGTGATTTCGGCCAGACAGACCACGCACGCTTACACGCTTACTGAGGTCACTTGGACCAGAGAGAAACTTACGGGACAAAATGATTTCCTCTGTCACCCCGTGCAAAGCCAAAGGGTGTTCAGACTAATTTTCATCTCCTAAGTAAAACCTAAGATGAAAACCGATCGCCTGGAGTACCCTAAAGATTTTTTGTTCTGCTCTGCTCCCCACCCATTACCCGGGAAGAATGACCGGAACAGGACCTCCAACCTCCAGCACGATCATTAGAGTCCGAAGCTCTTGGGGTGAAGTAGATCAGAGAGTGACCGTCTCAAGTCACTTCATGCTATTTCTGGTTTTGAGCCCAGACTTGTCAGCTGGCTTGTGACGCTTGGGGTGTTTCACCATCAGTCTAAGTCTGACCCTGTGCTCCCCAAACCCACCTGGCATGAACACTGAGACTTTACTGAGATTCCTACGCTCATTTTTCTATTTGTTCCCTTCCCAACCTCAGCAGCTTGCCTGATGCTAGTCTGGGAACTGACGGTTCTTTTTGGAAAACTAAGCAAATCTTTCAAAAACAGTTTTCAAGTCGTGTAACAGCACGTTTGTGCTGTTGCAGCTAAAGAGCCGTCAGCCTCTGGTGGGGACCTTGATTTCAGCTCAGGAAACGGAGCAAAATACTCATTTTGTGCATGAAATTGCGTGTGTTCTGCGTGGTAATAAATACTCCTCAGCACCCTCTGCACTTCGCGGCTGTGTTTGACTTTTCCTTGAGTTGGGAAATTCGGTCCCCAAGAATAGGTGCTGCTTGCCTGCCGCTGGGAAAGTCATCCCTGAGGAAACAGAATTCAAAGTGAGAGCCATGAATTCTCACTTAGAAACTCTCCCCCCGCCACACTTGAATTATTTTTTTTCCTGAGGGAGCCCGCATTCGGCGGGGGTATGTGATCACATGTTCATTTCCTCCTCCAGTACTCTTGAAACTCTAAATTGTTCAGAACTCTGAGAGTGCGAGTTTCATGCACACAGAGACAACAGCAACAAGAATGACAATCCAGACTACTTATAATAAAGTGAAAATCAAAATCAACAAGCAACTATAAACCAGAGACACACGGTGGGGGAGGGGAAGAGGGATTAGGGTCAAAATAAGGGGGGCGGGAATTGTATGGGGACTGTAACCAAGATGAAAATGCATACACTGTGCAAAAATGAAAAAGGATGTAAAAATATATAAAACAAAAACTTCTTCATAAAAAATATATTAGAATAAAATAAGCCAAAATGATATAGTCAAAAAAAAAAAAAAAAAAGAATGACAATCCAATGACCCTTTATGTGCAATTTGGAATCAACAGCCTCAAACCCTTTAACTTCACTTGCGGGGATAGCTCTTAAAGAAACCAGCCCTGATCCACCTTTGCAAGCACAGTAAGGAAGGTCGTCGGAGCATGACTGAAGAGGGTACACAAAAAAGGGAAAATAAATCTGTCTCGGAAAGCAGCTAGGTGAGCTGTGGGTCACTGATACCTGGTCTAGCTTTGCAGCTATTAACATGAGGTTACCAAAGGGATTTATGAAGCTGTTATGGCAGGTTTTTTTAGAATAGGTTTTCTTGAAGTACAACACAAAAAATTTTGTAAGTTACACAGTTCAAAGAGTTCTCACCAAACAAGGACACCTATATGACTGGTACCCGGATGGAAAAAAGAAAATAAGCATTCCTGGTACCCCATAAGCACATCCCAGGCCCCTTTCTTCATGAGTGGCCCCCTTCCCACCACTGAGGGTAACTGCTTCTAAAACTTAGATCATTGATGCCAGTTTCTGAACTTTATACGGGGAGTCACACCTTGCACATACTTTGTCCCTGGCTTCTGGCAGAGTATTTTGTTGTGAGCTGCGTCCATGTTGGAGTTTTCCCATCCCTGTGCCACTGCACTGATAAACTACAATAATTTATCCATTCTACCGTGGATGAGCATTTGGGTTGCTTCCAATTTTATTCAATATGTAAAATGTAGTTGTGATTGTTCCTTTTTTTTTTTGTTAGTTTTCATTTTTCCTTTTCCTCCCTTTTTTTTTTTTTAAAGATTTATTTATTCATGCATACAAGAACAGGGGTACAGGCCAGATGTGTGGGAGGGTAAGAGGATTTGCCAAGGACAGAGCGGGAAACAGAACAGGCAGACTGACTGAAATACACTGCTGAGGGGAGCAGCGGGCGAGACCGCCATGTGGTAACCAGTAAATTGTTTTCACTAAATCCAAGATCTATTCCACAAGCATTTTGCCTATTTTTTTTGTTATTTATATTCTACATATGAATGAAACCATCTGATATCTGTCTTTTGTTTATTTCACTTAACATAATCATGTTGCGTTCAATTCATTTTATTGCAAAAGACACTATTCACCTTTTAAATAGCTGTGTTGTATTTTGTTGAGTATATATTCTACAATTTCTTCATTTATCTGTTGTGAGATTTAGGTTGGTTCCATGACTTGGCAATTGTGAATATTGCTTTTATGAGCGTATGTATACATAAATCTTTTTGCATCACTTTTCACTTTTTTGGATACTTACCCAGCAGAGGTATTTCTGGATCATATAGGAATTACATTTTCAGTATTAAAACTCCCCATATTATTCTCCATAGAGGCTGCACCAGCTTTCATTACCACCCGCAGTAAGAGTTTCTACTTCTGCCAATATTTGTTATTTCTATTCTATATGATATAGGCCATTCTCATAGGGGAGGAATGATGTGATATCTCATTGAGGTTTGATTTCTTTTCCCTTATAAGCAATGCTGAGCAATTTCTCCTGTCTGTAGGCCATTATTAAATTGTGGTATCTATACTCAGTGTTCTTCTAGTTTTAACATGCATAGGAATCACTTGGGACTCTCCATAATGGTGCAGATCCTAATTTAGTAGTTCTTGGGTGCAGTATAAGCTCCTAATTTTTGAAAAGATGGTGATATTTTGTTGATGATGTTGGTTGTTCAGATTTTTATGTAGCGAGGCTCCAAGCTATACTAAAAGTTATAATAATCAAAACAGTATGGTATTGGACTGACTAGAGACACATTGCTCAACGGGATATAATTGAGAGCCCAGAAATAAGTCCAAACATACATGGACAGTTAAAACACAACAAGGCAGCCAAGAGTTTACAATGGAGAAAGGAAAGTCTCTTCAACAAATGGTGTTGGGAAAACTGGACAGCCACATGCAAAAGAATGAAAGTAGATCACTATCTCATACCATCCACACAAATTAATTCAAAATGGATCAGAGACTTGGGTGTAAAACCTGAAACCATGAAATACATAGAAGAAAGCACAGGTAAAACACTTCTTTACACTGCCTTTCAGGATGTCTTTGGGAACTCAACTCCAATAGAAAGGGATGTAAAAATAAACAAGTGGGACTATATCAACCTAATAAGCTTATGCATAGTGAAAGAAACTATCAGTAGAATAAAAAGACTCCCTAGCAAATGGGAGAAAATATTTGCACATCATATATCTTACAAGGGGCTAATATACAAAAATCTCATATATTTAATAGGAAGAATATAAATAAAACCTAAACAAAAATGGACAGAACTATATAAGCACTTCTCCAAGGAAGACATACAGATGACCAAAAGACACAGGAATAAATGCTAATCATTTAGCATCAGGGAAATGTAAACCGAAACCACAATGAAGTAATATTCTCATATCTACAATTATGACCCCTGTCAAAAGGCCAGAAATAAATGCCAGTGAAGGTGTGCAAAAAGGAACCCTCATGCACTGTTGGTGGGAATGCAGATGGGTTCAGCCCCCATGAAAAAATAATATGGAGATTTATAAAATATTAAAAATAGATCTACCATATGATCCAGTAATTCCACTCCTAAGTATCTACCCAAAGAAGGCATATCTGTACCCCTGTGTTCACTCTTCATAGCTAAGTTACGAAAATAACCTAAGCGCCCAAGGACATATGAGAGTATTAAGATATGGAATGTATACACAATGGAATACTACTTAGCTATAAAACTTTTCCTCAAAGATGAAATCTTGCCACTTGTGACAACATGGAATGAGAACTGGAGGACATGATGGTAAACAAATGAAGAAGTGAAAGGCAAATCATGGATGATTCCACTCATGTTAAATAAACAGAACAAAGAAACAGACAAAAGCAAATCAAAACAAACCCTAGAAATTACACTCTAAATCTGAAGCTACCAGAAGGCAGGAGGGAATGGGAAACAAAGTGTGGAAGGGGCCAGTGGTCCATGGTGGAGCAATACGGCTACTTTGGTGGTGGGTGTGGTGTGGTAACAGCCATCTGAGGGGAGAGCTGTACCACTGAGTCATATATGGCATCGCATACCAATGTTACCACAAAAAAAAAAGTTTTTTTAAATTCATTTTTCACAAAAAGCAGCAAAATCTCTATGATCAGAGAAAGACAACAGCAAAATATTAAAGGACAAATCTGGAGAGACTAGTTACCGGTAAGGTGATTTTTCTGAGGCTTGGGGCCATCCATTCACTTCTGTGAACACAGGACAAATTTAAGCTACTTACTCATCTACTACTTTTTTGACCCTGAACCTTCATTTATATTGCCTTGTAGAAAATGAGAAAGACAGAGTGGATGTTCAGAAATCAGATGTTAAGAAAACCAACCCCTTCTCCCTGCTGATACTTTGATCAAAACTTCAATATAAAGGTAACAATAGCAAAATCTTCCATTCGAAGAATAATCTATTATGACTCCATTGAACAAAATAAATCTTCCAAATAAAAGTAGATCAACGTACATTTGAAACATGAGTCGCAGATGAAGCAAAAAAGGCCAATGTGGTTTGAAGAAACGTCAGGAAGAGAGGGGTAAAAGCAGCATGCTATTCCCAGGCAGAAATATCTCCTTGAAAGGTTTTGCCTTCTACAGGTATGTCCTTCAAACGCACATCTGACATGGGCCTGCTTCCTTGCTCAATAGCATCATTAGTAAACAGTCACGCATCACGAGGGGCATTTTAACATTTCTTCCAAGATTGGGTTTGAATTATGGATTGTGAAAACATAGGTCCTGTTGCTTGGAAGGGGAAAATGGAGATCTGTCTGTGTTCTAGAAAGTAAGTTTTTAATACCATTTGAAAGACACATTACTAATATTCAAAGGTCTTAACAGTTTATGACCATTTTTGTGCCTGAAACAACTATGTGTAATTAATCAGGCAGTGAGCAGTGCTCCTTAATGCTGGAGAGCCGGAGAGACGCAACAGCAGTTCCTTAGAAAAGGTGTGGGCGTTTGGCACAGACTGAGGGTGTTACAGCTGGATGGCCACAGTTTCCCAGCTGGATGGCCACAGTTTCCCACTACGTGTCTGCCCAACTTCAGGGGCCACTGTGAAATCACACAACATACATAGGAGTCAAGTGGATGTGGGACTTGATCTGGCTGTGGCCTCTTTCTAGCCATTTAATTTTGGCCAAGTTACTTATTTTTTTCTGAGTGTTGGCCATCTGGGTGATAGTGATAGCATATCTGAGTTAATAGGAAAGTTAAAATAATGTACACAGAGTGCCAAATTCATGGTACCAGTAGCTTTAAATGAGGTAGTAATATTCATAATGGTGTTTGGTCTTCCTCCCAGGATGAAGAATTTGCAAGTAGGAGGACAAAAATTGGAAATTTCCAAGGACAGCGGAAATGCTCTCCACTACCCTGCACAGAGGAACACTTGGTTATCTCCAGAGGCCTCTGGAAATGCACAGTAGATGTGGCAGTCAGGGTAAGGACTTTCAGAGTGTAGGTGAGGGTGCAAAGAGCAGAGGAAGGTGGGTGTAACCAGCAGGTTGAATATGGTAGTCAATATACTATTCACTTACAGCCATGAATGCTATGAACAGAGAATGGACCCAGTAGACACCCAGCAACATGGTCAACACCTCAGTTGTCATGGTCACCTGGGGAGATCGGCTCTACTATTTCTACTTAGTACCTGACTTTTCTACCTCACCACTGTGGACATCTAAGGCCAAAGGGTTCTTTGTTGCTTTGTAGGCTTGTAGCGGCTCCCCTGGCCTTGATCCACGAGATGCCAGCTGCACCACCCACACCCCAGTTGTGACAACTAATGATGTCCCCAAGCATCGTCAGATGTTCTCTGGGCACCACATTACCCCAAGCTAAGAACAGCTGGGTAAGTAAATAAATAAAGTGAAAAAGTGAAATTGAGTGACCTGCCAGCTAGGAAGTTTTGGAGCCGGAATTAGAAATCAGGTGAGTTTTCTAAACCCCACTCCTTAACACCACGCTGTACTGTGTTGTGCCTCGGGATAGCAAATAAAGAAATTTCTGCATCTTCTTGGGTTTGGAAGTGGGGAGGAGCCTTTGGAGCAAAACTGCTGCATGAATGGACGTGATAAACCACGCGACAGCCAGGCTGCATCTGCCAGTTCCAGGGATGTATTTTCCCGTGCAAAGTCCGCTTGCACTTCACCGATGCCACCTATACACAAACTATTTGAAAACTAGTCCTTAGGAATGTTTCCCTTGGCCAGTTCAGAGTATTCAGGAAATACTGGCTCCAAGTCATTCTGTCTGCCTTATGAACAAACTTGGCAGTAGATGGCTTCTTAATTTTTTTTTTTTAAATCACATCTACTTTCCAAGATGGTTTGCCTTCACTCAGGACATCCAGGCGACGCTAAGTTCAACAGGCAAATTACATGAGGATGTTTTGATCACCATCAAATATGTCCTGAGTATACCACGAAGATAAATTTCATTTAAATAAGTGATCTCTTAGTGATGTTGAGAAGTAGTTCCTCTTGTTCCCAAAGTCCCCTCTCTGCAGTTTCGCTAGACCCATCATCACAGGCACCGAGCAAGCCCACCTTACGTTGCTGTATGTTACTTCCCTGATCCCATTTGCTCACAGAGGCCTTATAGGAACAGAGGGCACTTGGGTTACCCTAACTTTGCAGCAGCTCCAGGTGAAGTGTGCCTACTCACCACATTTCTTTCTACTTATGTGGAAACTGAAGCTCAGGGGGTTGACCTCCATCAGTCACTACCTGGCAGAGACAGGGCGCCAGTGCAGGCCTTTAATTCTGAAAGGAGGGGTAAGTAGTGCGTGCCCGGTCAGGAGCAGTCTTTGGGGAAGATGTGAGTCTGGCTTTGAAGAGCCACTCCGCCTGCTTCTCCTTTGACCCCTGCCCAGCATTGGAGTTGTGCCTCCAGAAGACCGTGAGAAAAAGGGCCTAGTAACAGTCAATAATAATAATTATATATAATAAGCTAGGATAATAACAGCAGTACAACCATAAACTGGAAACAGGTGGCTGGTTCGGCGGCCACAGGCCTGGATAGGCGCAGGTATACGTGAGCGTGCGGGGCCATCTGCTCCGGCGCAAGGCCCAGGGCCATGCCAGCATGGGTGTGCAGGTGTGGGCAGCACAGATCTAAACAAGAGTGCCCGATCCACTGCACGGTGGTCACCTGACCCAAGTTGGGGCAAAGGGCTGGTCCCTGGCAGAGTGCCCAGGGAGCTCCCACTAGGACTCATTGCCATCCCCATCTGCCTCCAGCGCCCACCTCCTTCCTGACCCCTCACGTACCCCCAGACGTTCATTCAGATTGCTCCCCTAAGTGTTCCCTCTCCCCGCACAGTGTCCAGCCCAAGACTTGCCTGGCTCCTTGAGAGCCACCTCTCCTGTCCAGCATGTATGAGGCCCTCTGCGCTAAGAGCACCAGCGGGGCCAGAAGCTGTGCTGGCAGTGGGAGGCGAGCTGATGTGTCCTGTCCTTGGTGCACAGAATGGAGGGCAGCTGAAAAGCAGAGGCTGAGCTATGTCACCCGCTGAATGAATGAATGAGCCACTTCGGCTGTCTGTGGTGGGTGGAATCAGTGTCCTCCAGAGTCTAACATACACCCCCCGGGCTGCAAACACGTTACTGGCAAAGGGGTTCGGGTGCAGATGAGTTCAAGTGATGTTTTAAAGATTTATTTATTTATTTATATATACATACATACATACATGCATACATACATACATACATGCATGCATACACACACGCACTGGATACAGTCAGAAGTGCGGGAGGGTGAGAGAATTCACCAGAGCCAGAGCAGGGAGCAGAGCAGGCAGAAGGACCGAAAACACTGCTGAGGGGAGCAGCGGGCGGCAGGAGAGGTCTGCCCGCCATGTGGGACCCTCGCAGAGCCGGGGATCGAACTGGCGCTGCAGAGGCTGCGGGCAGCCTGGCAGCCCAGCGCTCAACCACTGCACCACCGAGGAGGCCCTCAGGTGACATTTTAAACTAGAGATTTTATCTGGGGCTTGCCAGGTGTGATCACCGGGTTTTTAAATTGGAAATGAGAGGCAGAAAAGGAGTGACTGTGAAAGGGGTGCTGTTTGAGAAAAACGTGACCCACGTTGCAGGTTGTGAATACGGAAGGAGCCCCAAGTCAAGCAATGCGGGCAGCTTCAGGAAGCTGGGGCAAGTCAGGAAGACAGAGATTGCCCTGGAGCCTGCAGAGGAATGCAGCCCTGCCCAACCTTGATGTTAGCCAAGCAAGATCCATACTGGATGGACTTGAACCTGCAGAGCTGTAAGATAATAAATGTGTTGTATAAACCACCGTGTCTGTGGTAATGTGCTGCAGTGGCCCAAGCAGACCCACACGCTGTCTCGGTCTCAATTTCACCCCTTTGTGAAGGAGCCACAACAGCCTGTGCTAAGCAGCCCTGCGCTCAGGAGGAGAGCACACGTTTAACTTTCACAGGCCCCCACTGACCACCACGGAAGGTTCAACGTGTATTTAATATGCAAAATGTGTGTTGAGAGAATGAATGAATGAATGGAAACGCTTCAAGCAGCAAGAAAAGTGTTAGGATTTGTTCAACGAAGAACCAACATCTCTGTGCAGTGAGGGAAGCGCGTGTGAACTATCAGCTCCTGCAGTTGCTGAAAAGCATGGAAGCCAGGGCCTGCCTTGGTATCCCTCAGAATTTCCCTCTTAGCCTGGTTCTGTCACATGTACCTGTCATTCTCTGCCACCATGCCCTTCCTTTGCACAAGTGGATGTATTCAAATCCTTTTGAATCTCTCAGCCAAACAACAAATACTCTAAATATTGCTCATTAAAAGATGGGCCTCCCTGGTGGTGCAAGGGGTTAAGATGCAACTATGAAGCTATCTGCAGCCACTGCAGCACGAGTTCGATCCCCGGCCAGGGAGCTACCCACATGGCACAGCAGACCTCTCCTGACTCGCCCACTGCTCCCCTCAGCAGTGTATTTCAGTCAATCTGCCTGTTCTGTTCCCCGCTCTGTCTCTGGTGAATCCTCTCACCCCCTGCACGTCTGGCCTGCACCCCAGTTCCTGTATGCATAAATAATCTTTAAAAGAATAAAAGAAACCGTAGCACAATCTGTAATATTGGACTGTCCAGAATATGAAGTGCCAGAGAAGCTCCTTTCCATTCCCTCAGTCGTTTCCTTCACGTCCTTCGTTTCTGTCTGTGGGAAACAATCCACCCTGGAGGAACCTTGTCTCCACTAAGATGTTTTTTTTTCTCCTTTTTTCTTTCTTTTTTTCTTTTCCTCTCCCCCTACCCTCCAAGGCCCAGGCCATCAGACAGCTAACCTACGACAGAACAGCCTGCTCTGTCTTCACTCCCCAGCATTTTCTAAATATTCACATTCCTCGCATGCCAGCTCCTTCCTTATTTTCTCAATTCTGTATTTGTTTATCCTCAAAAGCTCCTTTGTAGCTGCCCACATGGATCTGGGAAAATGTGGAGGCCAGTCCTCTTCCCTTGGGCGGCCCGGGCCCACCAAGAGCTCCATTTTCCATTCTCCACCTCTGGGGCACTTTCTTGAGAACACAAGCAACTGTGAGGTCCCCGTAGGCCAAGCAGCTGACCCGGCCCTTCAGACTCAGGCTGGTCCTCTGAGAAGCTGGGTCCTGGTGCAGGCTCCCTGCTTATAAGGCCTGGGAGGTTTTTTAACCCAGGGCTTTCTGTTTCCTCAGCACTCCCCGCTTCAGCCTGAGGCCTTCTCAGACCCATCTTAGAGTCCCAAGTATTTAAATACTTGGGATCACGCCAAAGCCAGGGTGCCCTGACTGTGAACTGCTAGGCCCGTGAAGGTCCTGGCCCTCACCCACACGTGGCAAGGTAACAGAAAAACTGGCTGCCTTCCCTGCAGAGCCATCTTGCCCACAACTCAGGGCCCGGCACCCTGTGGTCGGCCAGTGGGGAGAGTGCGGGAAGTAGCGCCTTGTGGACTGGTAACCTGCCAAGGCCAGCCCTGGGGAGGATGAGGAGGAAATGGTGTTTCTTGGGCAACCGAGATGTAATTCTCTCCAACCTGGCTCACAGCAGGACTTAAGGCCTGGGGTTAGATTCTAGAATCCTCTCTTTGGGGAGGAGCCATTTCCTTATTTCACCCTCTTGAACATCTCCTGCTGCCTTTAGAAAAAGCCCACGCTCCTCTGCAGAGCCTTCTGGGCTCCAGCTTCTGCCTGCCTCTCTGTTCCAGCCACCTCCTTGCACACAATTGTCTTTCAGTTACCCCACACTGTCAGGGGCCTCCTCTAAACTCTTGTGCCTTCCAGACTTTGGCGCCTTTGTAAAAACATTTCTTCTGCCTGTGAGACTGTATTCCCTGCCCCCTCTGGGTAATTTTTAATCACCTTCCAAACCTCAACATGGCTGTCATTTCCCTGCAGCATAGAGGTCTGTCTGTAACAACTTGGAGGTAACACAGAGAATGTCCCAGAGTCTGGAAAGGTTAGCTAGCTCTGCCATTTTTCAGACTAGGAAACTGAGTCCAGAGACCTTAAGTAACTTGCCCAAAGTTGCAAAGCTGGCAAGGGGCAGAGCTGGGTTTCATTCTTAAAGCTGTCCAGTTCTGGTATGAAGAGTGTGGGCTTGATAATCAGCTGGAATTCCACCCCCAGGCCTGATCTCCCCAGCTGCGTGTCCTTGGGGGCTTACCAACCTTTCGACTTCAGTTTCCCCATCTGGAAATACGATGGCAAAAAGCAGCAGAAATGAGAGGTAATAATGTTCATGAGAGCTAAACATTTAAAGTAGCCTAGGGCCTCTCCGATGGCGCAGTGGTTGAACGCTGGGTTGCGAAGCTGCCCGCAGCCTCTGCAGCCCTGGTTCGATCCCTGGCTGCCGGGCGAG